AGGAGTGAGGCCTATGAATTGGGGGGTGGTCCCTGCCATGACTCTTACCCTGGCACATAAAGGCACCCTTTCCCCCCAGAGTAGACCTGCCTGAGTAAAGGCCCTTTGCAAGATTGCCAGTCAAGAGCATGCCTGGGTTTGGGGGTGGGGGGACATCTGCTGTGTATTCCACATGTCCCCAGCCTTCAAAGAGGACACAAGGAAGCCTTTGAATTCCTCACCCAACATGCAGCCTGTTTGCCTCTTGCCCATTGCAGCTCTTACCAACGCAAAGCTCTCAGCTGGCAATGCCACACGACCTTTTCTACGCAATGAGGCCTACTAATGATTAGCAGCAGCATGTAGACAGCATCTTTCACACTGATGTGCAGCTGACTCGCAAGGTTTGAGACAAAAAAGATCTTGGTGAAACCAACAGCGATGCTTTCCTGACTGCCCTGTTCATTTGCCACTCAGGTGGATAACAAGATGGGCAGGGCAGCTCTTTCACAAAGTGAACACATCCAGTTTGAACTGTGTTGCTGTTCTGGTGGTGAATTGTTTGTTATCAGTACCTATTTGTATGCATAGGAGTAGTGCTTCAAAGTCCCAGTCATGCACCAGGGCCTCCACAGAGCTAGGAGCTCTGGTAGGCCAGTCCCCAGCATGCCAGCCCACCCAAATGCTATGCAGATTAACTCATTAAGTAGCTAACATCTAATGTAACAAAATAACAAAAAGAGTGGCTCTGCTCCAAAGTGCTTACAGTCCTGCTGAAAACATTCCCATGAACATGCTCCCAGACGTTGAAATGGCTGACCAAAATTCAACTGTTTTGTGAAGAAGGGGTGTCTGATAACAGTGGAACAGGATGGGGGTTCCTCTTTAGGGTGCTTTGGGCTTGAAATGTGCTGCTGGCTGATGTACTTCTTATTCAGGATTTGTTTTGTGCCCTTGAGAGTCCCCTAAGTCCTGGTCTGCAGGTTGCAAATAGATTAAAGGAAATCATCCTCATGTTTCCCTTCCTTTGTGGGTCAGAGACCCCTTTGCTTACCTGGGTTGTGGTATGGACAAGATGAGGAACTACTGCTTTGGGTGGTAGGGCCATCCCCCATGCTGGCTTCTCTGGGATCACTCCACTTCTTGATGCCTAATTTGCAGGGCACAAGCAGGACCTGAAGGTATTATTAGGCACAGTGCAATCTCCTAGAGATTCAACATCATAACATTAAGCTCCTGCAGCATCACGCCAACGCTGACGGTGTGGTGAGGCTGTCCTTCAGAGCTGTTGTACATTGCTGTGCTGTTAGTACCTGTCATGATGAAGGGATGGCAAATGCTAACATGACCTCACCACCCAGCAGTGTTTGAGAGCGGACTGTTTTTGCCATGTGACCACAAGCCCTGACCTTGGTGTTGTATTGCACAAGTGCACTGCATGTGACAAACATCTAGAGGCCTCCTTTCCAGATCCCCATTTCCTCTAGTGTTCCAGGAGGTCTGTGTGATGGCACTTGGGGTGGCCTCTGGGGCAGATGTACTAGACTGAGCGAAGCACAATGTATGAAACCAGGCTTCCTTTGTTAGGGGATCGAATTCAGCCATTGCATCTGCAGAGAACTGTATGAGCAGCTCTGTTCCACAGGGCTGACCCCCTCGCCCCGGCTGTCCAGTCCATCAGTGTCTTATTCCCAGCCTGTCTGATGACACTGCACCCGGAAGCCCAAACTCTATGGGATTTCCCAAGAGGGGTAGTCTTTTATTTCAGATGTGCAGCACAATCCACTGGTGGCAGGAGTTGGGATGGGGGGGAGGGAGCAAGGACATAAAGTTTCTTCACTTGCTCAGACCCAGTTACAATCCTTGCCCTGAGCGCAGCTCTTGAGTAGAGGCCATTGTGCCATGGGCATCTGTGATTCAGTGCTCCAGGGCGGGGGAGCAGCGGATAGGCCTTTCTGGCTGATCCCTTTAAAGGGTTGAATAAATGGAGCCATAGGTCAAGGCACACAGGACAGGCTTTGTTAGCAGGATTTTATGCTCTGGGGCATGAGGGGTGGGATTGCAGCTTGGCAGGAAATAGCCACGAAGGGCTTGCAGAGCTTTGCTCTGAACAGGCAGCGGGGGACTTGACAGAAAGACTGTCTGAGCCTGGCCCAAGCATGTCAGCATGGCAGGGAGAGCTGTTAGCTGCTCGGGGGCAGTTTTCTTTTTGCAATGAGCAGCCACCACCACAAAACTGCCCCCTGAGAAACCACCACTGGGGCTAGGTTTTCTCTGTTGCTCTGGAACCAGGCACTGGGACTCTGTAGTGCTCCAGATCAGTGATGGTCACAGCCTCAACAGACTTCATATTGGTAGCTGTGCACCTGATGAACTGGAGGGGCTGACAGAGGGGGTGTGCTTGCCAGCTTTATTCCAGGATATGAGCAGGCATATGAACAGGCAAAGGTGTCTACAGTGTATATCTGATACATCAGTCTGATGTGCTACATACTGGTGCTAGAGCCCAGGAGCCCAGCTTGGAACATTGCAGCTGTCTGGGCTACAGCTACAGGCTGCAGTGTGAAGCATTCCTCATACCCATGTTAGTGTGATGGGACACTCCCAAACATGGGTGCTAAGGCTGAAAGGTGGAGTGCTTCACACTTGCATAGCAAATGGTAAGGGCAGCATGAAAGGCCTCGGGTCATCTGGCTGTGGGGAAATTGGCGCCAGGGAAAGTTAATACATCAATGGAAGTGTCTGGGCTTGCCCTCTTTTGACGATGGAAAGCTGTTAGCGGCAGGGATTGTTTCGAGCCAGGTGCTGTAAAAGCACAGGCCATGCCTTCTCCTTCCTTACCCCCGCGGACACTGCTTTCTTCTTTTGTGCTGGAAACCAAGGGTTAAGCCCCCCCTCCAGCACTTCACAGATGCAAGATGAGGTACATTTGCTTCACAGGGCATGTCTAGGTGCAGCTCCTGGCTGAACACTGGGGAACAGCTGATAGAAAAATGTTTGTCTTCTATTCAGAGCTGAATTGGCAGAGCATGCCCCAAAAGGCTGGCAGGGCAAGAGGGGACTGCAGGGTGGAGCAGGCAGGCTGTAGGGAGTGCAAGAGACCAGACCCTTACTGAGTGTATAGGTTATTGGTTGAATAACAATTGCTCTTGGCCTGAAGGTGGTGAATCCAGGCTCTTGCAAGCAGCTAAATGTTGGCAACTGATAGACCTAGCACCAGTCCTGATTCCATGCAAGTGATGGAGACAGATGGTATTTCTTTATATAGATCTCACTGCAGATGTGTGGTTGATGAGAGACAGATGTGTGTGTCAGATGGTGTGATACTTGCATGTTGGTGTTAGATACCACAGGCTGGTGACTGGGAGTTTTATAATAACCTAGAGCAGCAGACACAGGTATCCATAGGTTGGGTAATGTGCACATTCCTAGTGCTATGGTGAGCCCTAACTAATGTTGGGGGTCCCTTCATGCTTGGTGTTGCACAAACCTGTAGTAAGCTTACAGTCTAAATAGACAAGGCAGATGGACAGCAGGGAGAAGCAGCATTGTAATCCCTGCTGCATAGATGAAGAACGGTGACACGAGAAGACTTGCCCAGGCATTCACATAGGAGACACTGAGGAATGGGTAGGAGTTGAACTTCAAGACTTTGGAAATGTGGGTTTCCTGCTACTATCCTTCCTCTCCAGGAAGAAATGCTCTCTAGGTGCAGTGCAGCACCACAGCAGCCCTGGGCTTCCTTTTGAGTGGGTAGAGCTGATGTCCAAATATCCCCTGTGATGCAGGGGTGGGAGGAAGAGGAACAGGCTTGGATCTAGTCCAATTCTATGAGGAAAGCAGGGCCAGGCCATGTCCGCATTTGGCTGTGAGGCCTGGAACATTTATGTACAATAACAGTACAACAGATGTGTTGATCCTTGATACTCCCAACCAGAAACCCTTCTCTATTGCTCCAGATTGGTCTCCAGGCATTGGTCACTCCCTGTTTCCACCCCAGACTTGGTATTTGGCAGTAGCCCCTACATTGCAGAAACTTTTGCCCTTTTGGATTTGGTTGACCTGTCTTCCAATCCAGATTTCATGCCCTTGAAAGGACAACACTCCAGCCCCCATAGTCCTTATTTTAAGACTTGAACAAACAGACACTGAGGGGGGAAAAAAAACAACTTCAAATCAGGGGTTTCAAAAGTGCAGCTACCTTCTCACTCTGGGCAGCCTCTGCACTTCTAGGGTGGAAAATAGATTTGGGAAAGATTTGTATTATTCTGGAACTGTATTTCATGTTTATGTACAAAGGCTGCTACCTGCAGAAGAGATATTCAACTTGAACCTGCTAAAACTAGGAGGGCTTGCGGCATAGCTAATGAGAGAGAGGAACAGGAGGCTTGGTAGATTTGCATAGCTGTTAGTTACATGATGCATAGTGGGAGATGCTTTCAGCAGTGTCTTGTGGTTCTGATATGTAAAACATGTTTCCCATTGGCCACCAGTAGCTAAAAATGCAACCAAGCTGCAGCATTTAGATCTCCAAAATGTAGGGCATTTTAAAACATGGGTTTTGTATTTGAAATTACTTCTGCCAGTGATACCACTTCAGTGTTCTGGCAGTGTGAGTTGCACCTGGGAGTAAAAGGGTTCTCCTAGCCTGATCTCCATCAGGGATAATCAGTAGAAGGGGTTGTGTGGTTCATCTTTTTCTGTACTACAGCCAACATCACAGCACAACAGGGAGGGATGGCTATCGCAGCTATTGATCCTGGAAGGATGCATCTGGACTGTAGTTTGGCTTTTCCTTCTTATGTACCAGCAGAACTTAAATGCGCTTCCTAGAGCTCAGCAAGTCCAACTGCCCAGCACCTCTGGAGGCATATTTCCCTGCACAGACATTACCACTTGGAAGATGCCTTTCTTCCCTGTACCAGTCTGCTCCAATATCAGCTGTTGCTGAGTCCTAGAGGAGAAAAGGAGGTGTAAATTGATGACTCCTGTTATTTATTTATTTTTTACTCCCTTGGCAGATCTTCATCCACGTTGGTCACCTCGGACCCCTACCCTGATGGGGTCTGAGAGCCCTATGTCTTTCACCAAGGACCCATATGATACAGAAGGCATCGTCAGCACACTAGCAGGTACCGTCACCACCATCATGGGCAGCTCCCAGCCAGTTGTGAGCCGTGGCACTGCTGATAACCTCATCCCTGTCTACTGCTCCATCCTGGCGGCTGTGGTGGTAGGTCTGGTGGCCTACATTGCTTTCAAAAGGTAGGTATGAACCAATGCTTTGAGGCTTCAAGGGCTGGATGATTATACCCAGGACTGGGGAAAGTTGTCATCCTTATGCTGAGACCCAGAGCAATCATAGCCACATTTTAAAGCCTTTTCAGCCAGCACCTAATGTCTTTGAAACATTTGATGATAGATTAGATATAGAGTTCATGAAGAGGGATGGGAGAGTAAATCAAAAGGGGAAACTGTCAGGTGGGATGATGAAGATGTCAAAAAAGTCAGGGAAGCACATATTCCCTTAGGCCAATGGTTCCTGACTGTCTCTGGCCCATGTAGAGGACTAATGAGCAAGTAGCGTTTTGTCAGCAGTGTCATTATGTGCTCTCCCTGCCAACCTGAAGAAAGGTGGATCTTTGGAAAGCAAAATTTGCTGTAGCCAAGAGCAGTATTGGAAGGTCTTGCAGGCAACATGATGCCTAGGAGGCATGGGTTGGGGAACACTACTCTGAGAGTCTCAGTTACCAGGGTCCTGCATCCCAGGCAATCATTTACAGCAGAGTGAAGGATGAGGAAAATCAAAAAAGTAGCTTTTACTCTCAGTTTGCCCTGGTAGAAATGACAGCACCTTAGAGGAGGCTCGCAAAGGCAGGAGTGGGAGCTGGATCTTCAGTGAAAATCAGTGACAGTGGACTGTGATGCAGGGCAATGGAGCATTGGTGCCTATCTGTATTGCCCCTTTGGCTTTCTCTCCAGCTCATTCTCCTTTCCCCACAGGTGCTTTTAGTTGTGACACATTATGAAATGCTGTCACTTTCAATATCTTGCACAAGCTCACCCCCTTTAAACTAGGATTTGCACCTGGCTCACATGCAGGTTGTGGCTGGTTCAGTGTTTGTGCAGAGGGTTGTGGTTTCCCCAGGTATCTACATGCTGGAAATAATCCTGAATAAACACTGCAACTCCAGGGAAAAAGCCTGCTGGTGTGACTCCAGGGACTCCCCAGCAGAGAGTTGGGCCCTGTATTGTCCTATACACATGCTCTCAATAGATGGACACCTGCAGACCAAATGTGCACTTATGTACATGCATGACTACATCTGTGCATTGATTCATATGGACATAGCCACAGCCTTTCAAAGACAACATACACCAAAGCTGTACACTGTGTGCAGTGTGTATGTGCAATGATCCATGTGTGCACATGGTATCGTGTGCATTTATGAGCACAAATCAATACATACACAATCCTGTGTGCACACACTCATGGGGATAAATATTTGCAGGCATACAGGAACTGTATTACAACTCCTTTTTCTGGAATACTTCCATGTTAAAAGGAAAAGAACTTGGGCCTAGATCCAAAAAAGGCATTTAGGCACCAATTTCCATTGAAATTTAGGGAAGTTAGGCACATAGGTGCCACTGAGGATCTGGGCCCCAGTTCTTTGCTGGTATGTGTTGATGTTGATGTCCAAAGAACTGTAGAATTGCACACGATTGGAAAGCTATAGTGATTTTTTTTCTCCTTTAAAATTAATTTGAGGCAAGTCTTTTAGAATTTCCCTGTAGTGTCAGGTCTTTGAATAAAGGACACTGCCTCTATCCTGGCCACAATGCATTTGTGCTGCCTGACTCTGTGGTCCCACATACCTTACAATGCTTTTGGTCTCAATGGAAATGTTACTTATTATTTCTGCTTCACCAGGACTTAGTACTTGTCTGTACTGTGCTAAGGTGGAGCTTCAGGAGGGTGAGCCTGAACATGCCCTGTCCATGCCTCACCCACCTAAGAGTGCTGATGTGCTCCAGAGCTGGAAGTTCACTTGCATGAAGCTGCTCTAAACCCTCAGCATCTGCTTGGGGGCCCTCCTTTTCCTACAGATCTGAGAGAGGGAGCTGGAGACAAATCTGGAACAGCCTCAGGGATGAACTTCCAGCTCTGGAGTGCAGTGTATGCTCAGTCCCATCTTCTCAAGACCCAGTGCTGATGCAGTGTAAGCAACCCTCCTGGCTGCAGGGAGTACCCCTTTGTGGTGTGTCTGCATAGCACCTGGCACTATCCAACATGGAGCACAGCAATGCATCTGACAGTAAGAAGACAAATCAATGTGAATCTCTAATAATGATGGATCCAACTCTCTGCTGCTTTGCTGCTGGTGTCATCACTCATGCCAGCAGTAAATTGGTGTAAAATGCTACCAGATCACAACAGGGACAAGGCAGGGAGAACCAGGCTCCATGACTTGGGTTTATATGCAGTCAGATGAGAAGACCAGGAAGATTCAGGACATGTGGCTAGACCCGCTATTTTATTCCCCTTTGCCGCTTTCTTGTTCAGGTGGAACAGCTGCAAACAGAACAAACAGGCTGCCAATAACCGGCCAGTGAATCAGACACCTTCTCCAGAAGGAGAGAAGCTTCACAGTGACAGTGGGATCTCCGTGGATAGTCAAAGCCTTCATGACCAGCAGCCACAGACGCAGACCACACAGGGACAGGGTGAGGTATATCCACCATGCCATGGTTTGGGAGGTGGGAATGGGGAGAAGTAGTCTTCAGCTGCTTCATTTGCAGGACAGAATAGAGAGGCATCAGTGGCACTATGAGACAGCACAGAAGTGGACTAACAAAGGGTCCTCAGAAGCATTGGCAGAGAAGAAAGGGTCTAAAATGGGATGGAGGATGGTGTGGGGAGCTGTGGTCAAGACGGAGGCATTGATAGAGCTGTGTATGTGGGGAACCCAGGGCTGAGACTGCAGAGTGAAGGCTGGAGAGTCAATATACAGGATGGTGTAGGCCCTGAACATCCACCACTGGGAGATCTCCCCATTCAGGTGCAGATGTGAAATTGTACTGTAGCCCAGATCTCTGGTCCCTCTTACTGCCCTGACTTCAGTTTTACTCATGGGCCCCTAATAACCTGGCTGTGTTCCTCCCCTTCCATGTACAGCTCTGAAGGGAGATGGGAACCTGTACACCAGCCTGCCACCTAACAAGCAAGAGGAGGTGGAGAAGCTCCTGAACAGCTCCACAGAGGATACCTGGCGTCACTTGGCTGGGGAGCTGGGCTACAAGGAGGATCACATAGACTCCTTCACTCAAGAGGAGTGCCCTGTCCGTGCCCTGCTTGCCGACTGGGCCAGCAAGGACAGTGCCACTGTGGATGCCCTTTATTCTGCCCTGCGCAAAATCCAGAGGGGGGACATTGTGGAGAGCTTGTACAGTGAGTCAACTGCCACATCACCGGTGTGAAAGCCGGGGCAGGGAGGGAGAGGCGCTCCCAATCAGCTCCTCTGTGACCCCTACAGAGATATCACCAGGAAAGAAGATGTGAAGGAAACAGGGCTCCTTTGGGACCCTGCTATTTACAAACAATCCTGTATGCACTGACCTATTATTTTCAGTATTGATCTCCCGCTTTTTCCTACTTCCCCTCCCCCATCTTCCCTCTCATGGACTGTGTGATGCTGAAGCAGGAGGGAGGCAGCTGAGGGGAAATGGGAACGGATACCTGTTTCAGTTGTGTTGGCCCCGGGGGGCAGTGGATTCAGAAAGTTCTGTACATGTACAGCACCCTCTTGTGTGCCCCAACAACATACCGAGTGGCCACAACCGTTCTTGTTTGCTATCTCCCAGATCTCTCCTTGCTTTCTATTCCTGTCATCTTGCCCTTTTTCCCTTGCCTTCATTTTTCTATCCCAACCTTCTCCCACCTACTCTGCATCTCTCCCCCTCATTTCCCATCATCTTGTGTCCCCGTTTCTGTTTTCCCCAGAATTGCACCTCCCAAGTTAAGGAAGATGGACCTGGCTGAAGGCCAAGAGGACTGGGTGGGTGTTGCAACTAACACCTGGTTGAAGAGGTTGTTCATGGGAAGTGAGATAAGGAGTGGGGGAGCAAAAGGATGCAGCTTAGAAGGAGCTACCCAAGGAAGGACATGGGGAGCAAATGATCCACTTCTAAAACCAGACATCTGTTCCCCTGGGGCCAGTTAGGGGCATAGAAGAGTAGGCCTTTTTTTTTTTCTAGCAGTCTAGAGCTACACTGTGAATCATGAGCCTTGTGGCATGTATAGAGGGCAGTGGGGAAGCAGGAGGCTATTTTGTGGAGAGCAGTACTACAAGGGCATACATGAAACGTGTATTCCTTAAGTTGAGAAGAGTTTGCCTTGAGTGTTGGCAGTCAGGCTGCCTGACACACTAGGAAACAATCCCATTCCATACAGAATAATGTCATGGTTTCCTGCTCAGGTTCCCAGCTTTCAAAAGCCAGCCAATTAGTTTAGATGGTGATCCCTCATAGCCAGACAGTACCTATGTTGGAGGGGAAGTGCTCCACATATGAAATGGCTGGGAAATTGCTTGCACTGGGGAGATTGCAAACCAGAGAGCAGAGAATGGTCACCATTCTTCACTCAACATGTGTACCTGTAATCACTGTACTGCCAAAAAAGAGGGCAGTTGCACAGCCACTGACCCAGAAGCCATCCCAGAGCTGTTACACCTTGCACTGTGTCCTTCCTGATACTAGTGAACCAGCCACTGTGGGCTACAAAATAATCACATTTGCTCCATTAAATGGAGACCTGAGGAGGGGAAAAGGTCCTCCAGGTGGCCTTATTGAATGGATAAACCAGGCTACAAATGCATTGGGTAACTCACTGGAAATCACCAGCAACTCAGATTAACCCTTGGGGGTTCAGGTGAACTAGCCAGCTTGGTGTTACCCAAGTTTATAATAGCCTGTGCTACTGGACTCAGGGTTTCTTCCTAGTCTCCTTAATGACAGTGTTAGTGATGGATTCTGTTTGGTTCTATGCAGGTCCTTAGACCACACCCATCACCAGTACCGGAGCTGGTGAGAATGAGTTGTAGACCTGGTTCAGAAAAGCTTTCAGATGCTCAGGTGTCTTTTTCTGAATTAGCTGATGCTCTTGGTATTGGAGATATCCCAAGAACAGAGTCCTTTGTTTATTTTGGGACTTCCAGGGCAGCCTCAGGAAGCAGCAGATGCAGCAACATTTTTAATGGAAGGGAAAAGGGAATAAAATTGATAGAGCTTTTTCCAGACTTTGAAATAGGCTTGAGTAAAAGCTGGTGGTAGGGTTGAGAGGGAGCCTTTCTTACTTTTCCAAGCCCATTGGGCCAGACTCTCAGTTAGAAATTCCTTTCTTGAAGAAGAAATTACAAACTACAAAATCATCCAGGAATCAGCTGTTATTTCCCACCCGTTGAAGGAAGCTACCAGTTTCTGGCTCTTGTTCTTAAGAAACAAATTGAAATGCAGCTCAGGGCAGGTGGCATCAAATGGTATTCATACTGCTTCCGCAGATGATCTACCTCCTGCCTTCACTGAGTTGCTAGCATGGCAGATAGGAGGGGGGAAGTGACTTCAAGTGAGCTGTCCTGATAAATACAGGATGGTACTGAACATACCTCACTCTATGTATCTTGGGATCTGCACATGCTAGTGTTTGAACTGCAGCGCTCCAGACATCTGCAGGGTACATCACCATGACCACCCTTAAGAGTTTCAGGAAATACCACTGACAATGACTCAAGAAGTCGTGATGAGGAAGAATTCATAAGTCGCCGACTGACTGGAGAGAGAAGGACACAGAATGTGAGCATGGCTGTAGAACATGGATCTTTCACCAGTCGAGGGGGTGGAAATTAGAATCATAGGAAAATGGGGCTGGAACGGACCTTGAAGGTCATTTAATCCAACTGCTGCTCAAGGCAGGATCATTCCTATCCAAATCATTCCAGACAAATGTTTGTCTAACCTGCACCTAAAAGCTTGATCAAGATTCTACAGCTATTCCGGTGTTTAACCAAATGTATAAACTTAAAATCAAGCCTGAAAGGGTTAGAAACCTGAAACTTGGCTGGGTGTTAATTTGTTGTTGGTCTGGTCCTTTTGAGTAACCAGGACTAGCTGGCAAAAAGTTTTGGTGACCTGCAAGATGACTTCATACCATTGTGATCTTCACTGAAGGCAGTGTTTGGATTCCCCTACCTGCACCTCTTATCCGCACTGAGTGGCACCTTTCAAGGAACCCCACTGAAGACTGATAGACCAAGGTGCAATACAGTGTAAATAAGAATCTGGCCCTGAGTGTCCCTTGTTCTCCAGATGTAATTTATTGGAGTAATCTGCAACACCCCTATCATCCTAGATCCAAACGTCTATTTCTGGTGCTAGTGAAGAATTGTAACAAAACAAAAGGGAAGGATTCCCTGCACTTGTTCCTCTCCAATCTGGCATCATCCGCCAGGCTTCAAGCCAACAAGTCCATGCTCAACATCTGTAGAGTTGCTAGCGCATAAAGGGGCCTGATTTTTGGAATCCTCAGATGGTGTCGATCTTGAAGAGGATGGGAGTGCTGTCAGAGGACTGCCACTTCAGGTCTTGCAGTGGTAGGGTCCATGGTGAAGTCCATGATTCCACAGAGGAATTGAACTCTATGGATTAAATCTACCCCGTGCCAATCCTGTGACCTCCGTAGGTTACAAACAATATAAATTTCCAGAGGAAAGTCTGAGAACCTGTGAGGGTGTAATTTGAGCTACATAAGTGATGGTAAATGAAGAATGACAGGCTGTTGAATTATCCTGCAACTACAGACCTACTATTTGCTTCCCAGCTCAGCCAGAAACCCTCTCATTAAATGAGGAAGAAGATGCTCCCCACCCACATGAAACAACAAAGAATTGTACATAATACTGTGTTGATTTACTAACTGCTAAATGTTTTTACGTGTGAAATGAATTATAGTGCTAAAGAGCAGGTGGCCTTGGGATTGCTATCAGGGCTTCTGCTCATAACACAGCCTTAGCATGTGGTCTATCTGTTACCCGTTCTTCCACAAGATTCTATAGTAATATAAGTGGCACCAGTCAGTCCCTATGAACTGAAGGGCCTCTCGGTGTCTCTCTGACAGATACTGTTATGTCTAAGTTTGGTTTGTTCACACCTCTGCCTTGAAGGTTGAATTTTATTTTATGGAGTGTCTGTTTGTTACATCTTTGTTTCTGGCTGTTATGGATAAAAGAGACAACAAAGGGAAATCTGATATATGTACACTTTTTGTAAAAAAATCCAACAAAACAAAACAAAAAAAACCTACAACAGCAGTGCTGAAAGTCCATATGAACCTGACGAGATCATCAGGTCTTTACAAGGGAGCGGTTGGAATCAGCAAAGGTTCTCAAGGAGGTTAAAAGCCCAGATCTTATTTAAAAAGTCAGTGGAAGTTGAGTGCCTAACTCCCCTAAGAACTTTTGAAAATTTCACCCATGGCAGTTTAAAAAATAATGCCAGCTGAAAGTTGGGCTTCCAGTGTGGGATTTTGAACCACGGCGAACACCCAGATCCCCAAAGATATTTAAATACCTAAAGCCTATTTGGCTTTTATGGGAATTTGGCCCTAAATTCCATGCATGGATCTGGGCCTATGTAAGGAGCATAAGCTGTGGAACAGAATCATGGGGTTGAAAGGGACCTCAGTGGTTATCTAGTCTATTCCCTGCAGCATTACAGAATGACTTCCCAGATAAATGCCCATCCAGCCTCTTCTTGAAAACCTCCAAATTCCACAGCTTCCCTGGGCATCACTATTCAATCCCATCAGTTTGCTGTAGGGGTTATAATTCCAAGTCATTTCAGTGCTTTCAAGAAGTCCTACTCCCAAGACCATATTTAGGCAAACAGTGAAATAGCCTGATAATGCTTGTCCCTCAGCCCCTCAGCGAATCAGGTGATTTACCCAGGTGCTTAAATTTTGGTTTTGGAACCAAACTTTGAGGTCTCCATTTTTTTAAACTTTTGCTTGTTCAGTTGTTTCATAAATTTCAGAAAATGTATTAACGTAGTAGAAATGTCCTCACTGACTTAATACCCCAGCCCTGCCCTGCCAAGAAAAAGCAAGAAACACATAGTGGAAGCAGAAAAAAAAATGGACTAAAACATTCTCCCATCAGTGCTGTAAATGTAAAGACAATATCCAAGGTTTTCTGAGCAGATACTGGTTTGGGCACTATTTTTAGGGTGCAGACAGAAGTGACAATTTTCACTTGATCTGGCAGCCTTTAACCATGACCAAACACAAGTGCACAGCTGCAGATCGCTTAAAAATGGCTGATCAGGTGAAAATCTGAACCCTCATTGTGGGAGGGGGTCAGATGAAAACATTTCAAAACATAGTGCCTTGAGCTGGTTTCAGAATGGGAAGGGGGAAAGGGAGTGGAGGGAATTTGGTCTGAGGTTTGTTCAGCCCCTGCTGGAGATGGGACAGGCATATTGGAGCTCCCTTGAGGTGGGGGGAGGGCTCCAATACACCCACCCCACCCTCCAGCACTAGATGGGGAACCCCTAGAATGAGCTGCCTTTCCCCTCCTCCCATTCTGAAACAGGCTAGGAGAGAGGAGGGGCCAGCAGCCAGATTCCCCGTCCCCCTGGGACCAACAGTAAACTTCTGTCTGGTCGGGGGGATCATTGTAGCTCAGAATGCTTCCTGCAAAGTGTTCTCAGTTACAGCGTGGCGCTACACTTCTGTCTGCACCCTAAAGTGCTTGATTTCCAGAGGTGGTATGCAGCATTTCTGAAAATCTGGCCCCTATAATATGCTTCCTTCCTCCTCCCTAAATCCTAAACCATACTGGGAAGATATTTTGGACAACAGTACTGCACCAAGACATAAGATTCCAAAACTGAAATTTACCAGTCTAGGTTCAAACTATGGACAGTGCAAAAAAAAATCAGACACCAGAAACAACGAATCCAAAAATATTTGAAATGGAAATATTTACTTTAATAGTCTCTAATGTTGTTTGTAAGGCAAGCAAAGAATATTTTATTTCTAATTTTAATGTTGACAATATTACTCATGTTTGTAGAGCAGCAGATTCTGGGAGGTTGTATTCATCTCTGAACTGTGCAATACCTTCCCATCACAACGTTAACAGCTTTCCTTCTGAGTTGCCTTATATTGGAGACTGGCTGTATTAGTTTTAACTTACGTATATTTTAATATAGACAAGATGCCTACAGAAAACACTTCAAAAAAAACAAAAAAACCCACCAACTTTGGACCCAACTCTGTTTTGGAATGCTGATCAAAATTTTGTGTTTCCCAGTCTTTTTCCCCACCAGGAAATAGGGTTTTTTTCAATCACACATGACATTTTTCACAGGGAAATATCATTTTTGGGAGTTTGTCTATTTTTAAAATGGAAAATTTCAGAACAAAATTGTCCATTGGTTTCACTGTGGAATGCCATGTTAGGTTTGATTTCCAAAAAAAAAAGCAAAATGAAAACAACTTAGAAACAGACATTTAAATTAAAATTGGAGAGAAATATACATTTGCTTTATTGCTTTGTTTGACATTTCCAGGGGGATCCAAATCTTTGAACAAAACTTGATTCACAGGTTTTCAACCAGCTCTAGATAGCAATGTGCTGTCTCCATCTTTTATTTTTAATCACCAAGGACATTTGCGTGAAAACAGGAATTAATTTTTTTGGCTGGGCTTTTCAAAATACATGCTGAAAGTCCGTCTCCATTGCTGCAATATTTGATCAGCTCCTGGCTCCTTAATGCATCTGGCCTACAGCATCTCTAAGACAGGAATATGCTGTTTTCTTCAGGTTAAGGATGAGACATAGAATATCAGAGTCATTCAGGTACATTTCTGGCATTGACTTTGAAGATCTGAGCCTGGATGAGTTGTCCCAGGTTAGAGAGGCAGTTGCTGGAAGAGGAGACTGACTGAATTCAGATCTTCCCAGTTCCAGTTAGACCTTTTAACTACTGAACCACCTTCTACTTTTGTTCCCAGTCACATCCCTCAAACTCTCCCTTGTTCTCTCTGAAGCATTATGCATATATTCTGCCTTCAATCTGTACCACAAAGCATCATTTGCATATTTGAACCAGGATTCCTAAAAGCAGAAAACAGAACAAACCATTTCTAATTAAACACAGATCCTAAATGGTTAACCCTTTAAATTCTTCAGAGACACATATGAGGAGCATTTTACGCCTCAGTTGAAGGGTTCTTTGCAGTCTTTTATGAGCAGGGATCCTGGTTTTCTCTGATGTTTTTCAGAAAACCAACCAATTTGGGGTATAAAAAAGTCACTCACAATCCACATTTTTCCATGATTCAAATGAAACACCACTATATGCATACCTATATATTAGTGGTGTTTAATTTAAAACACAGAAAAATGTGGATTTGGGGTTACCTTTTTTTTAACCAAAAGTCGAGGATTTTTTTAAATCGGAGAAAACCAGGATCACTGCTTATGAGCTGCAATGAGAGCAGGACGGGAGGGGGCAGCTAAGCAGCCTGTCAGGAAGCAAGAGAAGGTGAGCATGGCGAGTCTAAATGCAGAAAAACTTGGGAGAGGAATTGGAGACTTATAGGTGAAAAGATTGCCTCACTGGAAACTAGGAGGTTTCAGAAAGCCTATTCTCCAAGGAGACAGGGAAGGGAAGGGAGAAGATGGCTTCTGTGTGAAAGGGAAAGCACTGGTTTGGTATTAAGTGATAGCTTTGATGGGTGTGGCAAGGCGGTCGCCTTGGCAGGGGTGAGCAGCATGAACTACTAGTCTGAACAGGACAGGCCTCTTCCAAAGCAACCTGTAATTCGCTGCTTGCCATCTCCTAGGTAGCTGCTAAGGAAGGGACTGTGTCCAGAAGCATACAATGGAGGTTTCAGGAGAAGGAGGGAGCAGAGCCTCAGTTGCAGATTCTTAGGAACCAAAAACCCAGTGTTCATGCAAATCTCATTTTGTCTTTCAAGACAATGGGAAAAGAAGCATCTCAAGCGCAAACTATTTCCGAGACCACACACACACACCTCCTCTCTCTCACACCACCCCCAGCTGGAGAATTTGACCTAAATTCTGATCTC